ACCACGCACAATTCGACACCAAGTCCCCAAAGTGCATTACCATAACCACGGAGAAGCCAATGTAATAATGCCACCCAAAACTCGAAAGGACATAACCAATACGCAATCAATCATGCAAAACCCAAATACTCATCTCGCTCAAATTCCGCAATAAGGCCCCCACTTGGAGTTCTTAAGCTTGATTCAATTGGTTTTAGGGTGTGATTATTGGTTTTAATGTTGTTTCGAGCATTCCGTGAGTTTGAGCGAGTTCGTTTTGTGACTTCAAACTTGTTGGTATGTTCGGGCGGGGGCCCGGGGGACCCGAGTGCCAATCGGACGAGGCTCGGACTAAGTTGAGAATTTGGAACTACAACTGAGTGCACCATATCTGTCATAACCGCACCTGCGGTTGGCCAGTCGCAGGTGCGAGCCAAGCCCTCGCAGATGCGATCCCAGGATGTCCAGCAAGGTTCCGCAGATGCGGCTCTTTCTATGCAGAAGCTGGACAGTAGAAGTAGGAGCTCTTCCGCAGATGCAGCCCCAGACGGCCCAGCCAATTCCGCGAAAGCGGACATCTGGTCCGTAGAAGCGAATCCACTGGTGCGGCCAATGCACCGCAGGTGCAAAAATCGCAAGGGCAGTGAGGTTCAATTAATACGAGACTTCAGCCATTTTCACTCATTTTCTTTTACTCTTTGGGCGATTATTGGAGCTTCTTGAGAGGGATTCCCACCTAGCTTTTGGAGGTAAGTAATTTCTACCTATTATGAGTTTAATACTTAGATTATGGGTAGATTAACATGTGAAAATTAGTGGAAAATAAGGGTTTAGAGGAAGACCCAGGTTTTTGATAAAAATGAGATTTAACCGCGAAATTTGTTATAGAATTTAGTAAAAATCATATATTTATGTTCCTAAGGTTATGGGTAACGACTTTCTTTGAAAATCTCCGGAATCCGAGCATATGGGCCGGGGTGAATTTTAGGAATCTTACAATTTAGGGTGGGTAATCACTTAAATGGTAGAATTATGAACTTTTGAGCATAGATTGATTAGTTTATGTCATGTTTGACTAGCTTCGAGTCGTTTGGCATCAAATTTGGAGGTTTGAGCACGTTCTTGAATTGGGAAGTAGGCTTTGAGGCGAGGTAAGTCTCCTTTCTAACCTTGTAAGACGGAATTAACCCCATAGGTGAGTTAAATAAATGTTTGTACCTAATTGTAGGGGCTACGTACGTACGAGGTGACGAGAGTCCGTACGTAGCTACTATTATGCTACTGTCCGGGCAGTTTATGACCCGTATCATTCTATACTTGGAATGTTTGTGCCCTTACTTGCTAATTGTCATGATAGAAATTGATAAAAGAATTGTATAAGGTTAAATTCACTTACTTGAAGGTTTGTATGAGATACTTGACTGTAAATGAGAAACTTGTGCTTTCTTGAAAATAATTGTTATTTGTGGATCGGGATGAGCGCCTCGGTAGTAAATAGATGCATCTATGATTCGCGTCGTTCGACCCTCCGACAGTGCACAATTTAATATTATGTTGGATCGGGTCGTACAACCTCGGCATAATTGTGCATGTTAATTATTTGGAACTCTCTGTGATTTATACTGCTTAAATGCCTTGAAATGTAAGTGGTTAAATGATATGACCGAAATTGAAATTTTAAATTTATGAAAGAAGTACTTATCTCTTCCCTTTATTGAACTGTCAGAATTATTCATGATATCTATACTTAGCATAACACATTAATTACATTATTATTGGCCCTAGTAAGTGTCAAGCCGACCCATCGTCACTACTTTTTCGAGGTTAGACGGGATACTTACTGGGTACATAATGTTTATGTACTCATACTACGCTTCTGTACTTAATTGTACAGGATCTGAGGCTGGTGCATCTAGTTACCTGCCCGGAGCGCATACCTGATCATGGACCGAGACTTCACGGTGAGCTGCCCCCTTCTGAGCCATTCAGCAGCATGCCAGAGTTTCTCTTTTGTTTATATCTGTCTATTCTGTTTCAGACAGTAGGATGGTCATCTTTTGTATATTCTACTAGTTGCCCACACACTTGTGACACCAGATCTTGGCACGTGTTAGTATACTTTGATTTTTGGGTTGTAATTCAATAGTTATAACTGCTTCTAGATGTTTTCATTTGTTTGCCTTAAAAATCCTTTATTTATCAAATGCTTTAAATGTAAGTAAAGCTAAATATTGGAATGGCTTAATAAATAATAAACAAAAATGGGTAATCACTAAGTGGTTCCATGTTGGCTTGTCCAGCAACGGTGCTGGACGCCATCACGGCCTGACATGGAATTGGGTCGTGACAAACACGAACCTACTCGAGGCCTCAAAACACACACAACAACATCGGACTGACGAATCACACCTCAATTCGAATTCAATGAACTTTGAAACTTTAAACTTTCACAACTGATGTCGAAACCTATCAAATCACGTTCGATTGACCTCAAATTTTGCACAAGTCACATTCGACATTACGGACCTTCTCCAACTTCCGAAATCGGAATCCGACCCCGATATCAAAAAGTCCACTCCCGGTCAAACTTTCCAAAATTTCAACTTTCGCCATTTCGAGCTAAATTCAACCACGGACCTCCAAATCATAATTCGGACGCGTTCCTAAGTCTAAAATCATCCAACGGAGCTAACGGAACCATCAAAATTCTAATCCTAGGTCAAATGCTAAAAAGTCAAACTTGGTCAACTCTTTCAAATTTAAAGCTCCCTAGTTGAGAATCATTCTTTCAAATCAGTCCTGAATAACCTGAAAACCAAAACCGACGATTCACACAAATCACAATACATTATACGGAGCTACTCATGCCCATAAACTACTGAGCGAAGTGCAAATTCTCAAAACGACCGGTTGGGTCGTTACATTAATGTTGAAAATAATGTATAATGGGACAACTCAATGCGTAGAGATTAGCTTTCTCCTAAGTCATGTATAGTTGGATACTTGCAGAGGAAAAATCTTTAGCTGAAGTAGCACATGCTTTTAAGGTACCAAGAAGAGTATCTGGTTGTACAACTTTGTCTCAATTATATCATTGTTGTATTTCCTAAATATTTCCTCTTAATGAGACCCCTTTTGTTCTCCTTTTTAGCAGAAGTAGATACTTCCCAACAATGCATTCTTGCTAATTGATTAACTCTAAGTTGTTACTTGACTATTCAGTGTTGCTTAGTTAGTTGATCATCTGACTTGTGCTGCTTGGCAGTGTTAGTTATTGCCGATACAGAGAGCTTCTCAATAATTTCCACATGCCTGTTGAAAACTAAAATATCTCCTTTAGGTCGCTTAAATATTACAATTGGCTTCTTAGATTCATCATTAATGAAAAGATAACTAAAGGCTATTGTAGACTCTGAAACTTAGAAATTACCTTCATTGACTAGGAATGCATAAAATATAGCAGTAATAGATCTTTTTTATGCGTATTATCTAACTTTGTCTTTTTTACTAACCAATTTCTAATTAAACCAAGCCAGAATAAGTAGAAATTCATTGTGATATCTGCCCCATTAATAAAACATTTATCGAGTGATTTCAATTTCCTCAAAAAAGTTTTAAACTCCATGACAGATAATGTACGCACAAGAAGCTACAATAAAAAATGCACCAAATAGCAAAGATTTTTCTGAGAGCAAAATTGAGTATTCATCCTACCAATTTCAAGAACAAAGTAAGCTCCTCAGTAGTATTTAGAAATTGGCTAAGGGAGCACCTATCGAATCAGGCAAACGCATCATATTAAAGTAACTCAATCATTAGCTGAAGGTTATTACTTTTGGACGACATACGTGAAACTTAAAGTGCTACACAGTTTAATTCATAATATTAGTAAGTGTATCAATCAAAAATTCCAATACACTGAGAATATATTTAGCAACAAAGGTCAATACGAACTACGACATAAGGTATGATTGTAATTCGTATACATTTGTTAGGTTAGACATGCTCCGAAAGGCAAATAAGCACATGTTGATTACTCCTGCATTCTTAGATGCACTCTTTACTTTAAATGGACGAAACCGTTTGGTGTCTTTTAATTTCTTTTGCATCCTAAGTACTTTATAGGCTTAAAACATTCATTTTAATTCAGAGTATATTACTTTTGAGCACTATCTTGATGTGTTAAAATTATCTTTTTCTCTCTTGCAGGAACAACCATTACCTCTTGACCATGTTCGACAATGTCTTCCTCATAGACTCTTCAAGATACAACAGAGAAAATTATTTTCAGGCTTTAGCTGCCTCAACATCCAAAATTATGCATGTTTGTAATAACAAAGAGAACATAGAAATCTATGTATATCACTACAAGAATTCTGCCTTTTAGCGGCGACCTTAGTCGCTACAAAATCATCATATGTCGCCACTAAATGTTTATAGCAGTGACACTCAGACTTGCTGCAAGTGAGTCCATTACTAAACGTTGTTTGTGATGACTACAGGGTGTCGCTACAAAAGGTATGCCAAGTCGCCACAAAAGGTAGTTCCACCAAACAGATTCAGGGGAAGTCGCCACTGAAGAGTGACATTTAGTAGCAACTACAGGGTGTCGCCACAAAATTAAATAACTATCAGTGGCAGCTTATTTATCGCTACTAGAGAGTTGCTTTTAGTAGCAACTGAAGTCGCGACAAAAACAATTAGCAATTCTCATATCGCTACTTGAGAGTTACTTTTAGTAGCAATTGATGCCGCCACAAAAACACTTAACTATCAGTGGCAACTCTGATATCGCTACAAGAGAGTGGCTTTTATTAGCAATTGGAAGTCGCCAAAAAAAGCATTAAACCATCAGTGGCGACTCTGAGCTCGCTGCTGGAGAATGATATTTAGTGGCAATGATAATTGCTACAAAAACTATTAAACAATCAGTGGCAACTTTAATATTGCAACAAATACTTTTCTGAATAAGATTTGTCACCACTGAAACCTATTTAATTCAGCAACTGTAATGACCAAAATTATATAAACGCATCCAATAGTATTTTACAAACACCAAAAGAATATCTTAAGTCGGATATTAAATACTTCCATTACTAAAATGTGAATTACATATATAATGCATAATACTTCATTGTCATTGTATGCATATACATCCCAAAAGAGCAAAATACTAAGTGCCTTGAAGCCCATCCTTGGTTGTCTCCATTGTTTTAGAACCTCATCCATGTTATTACACAAAAGAAACACAAGATCACTTTGACAATTCTCATAATCTAATGCTAATAGTACAATGGATGACATAGAAGTGGAAAAATATATTATAACAATTTCAACCATTAACCACGTCTCCTAAGTATTGCTTCAAGTTTGAATAGGCAATGCAGTAGATGCTAATGTTGTTTTAGTTAGCTGAAAAGCTCTTATTACATGTGATTTGCAGCTAGGAATGGCCAGTACTCTATGTGGACAGGCTTATGGAGCAAAGCAATACAAGAAAATTGGAACACAAACAAACAACAACAACAACAAACCCAATTTTTTTATTCAGAACATGCAGAAAAACAGTTTTTTTTTCCAGTGAAATAAGAGCATTTGTGCCTCATCTGTCTTAGATAACTAATTTACGTAACAGGCTGAATTGAATTTCTTACCAGAAAAAGCTTTTCAGAGAAGTTGGACAAGAAAACATAATATCCACTATGTGAACTTACCACATGCAAAAGACTGTGAATGCTTTCTCCACTGATGTTTTACAAAGGCAACAAAAGGCAAAAAACAAAAGAAGATAAAAGAGGGACGAAAAATTAAAGCACATAATCATTTCTCAAAAATTTGAATTAAGTGCCACACACATAATCAAAGAGGACCTTTAATGAACTACAGAAGTACTATTTAGTAAGGGAGTGGAAAAATGGGATGACATCAGAAGAATGAAGCAGTAAGAAAAGACTTCAAAATTCAGAAATGGAGAAAACAAGGTGCCGGGGAAGAGGATAAACTAAGTAAATGTAGTTCACAAGTAACCACAAGTGTTTGAGACAGCAAGATCACGCAAGATAAAATACTAAATGATACTGTGGCATGCAGACATAAGAGGTCATGGTGAAGAACAAATTCCACATTGGATAACATTTACATTTACAGCTCATTTGGCAACCTTCAGAAAAGACGCTAAGAGGAATCCTCAATAACAAATAGATGAGCATGGCCAGAAAAATGGTGATCTTTAAGATCAGGAGCATACCCATCCAGAAAGAGAGGAACTCCAAGTGGAGAATCGTAGAAAAACAAAACAAAAAAAATGATTGGAAAAGACCTTTAAGAGGTTCTTAACAAAGAGTAACCAATCATCAAATACTAATTGGTATCTCATGGTTTTCTGAAAATAATACCAAAAAATAAAAATGTTTACCTAAGTTGTACAAAAGTATCTTTCCACCGTTTATGAAGACATCAAGTGCATGGTATAGGAAATTATCACTGAGTTTTAATATATAGATACTATACCTGAAACTCAATATGCATTTATGGTTCTTCCTGTATTTGATACTTCATCACACTGAAAATTGGAACACAAACATACACTGCTATATTCTGTCTCTTCATTGTTTGCATCACCTTGTCAATGTCAATACTGATGCAATTATCTGACATTCAATAATGACGCAATTGCCCAACACTCCTAGTAGAAAACACACCCTATAATATTGGATGGTCTAAGACCTTAATAGCCTACACAAAGCATCTGTTTCCACTAATGGTGAAAATAGATTCCAAGGTATTAGTCGATCTAATTTACTCAGAAAACAAAACTGTTTCTTATTCAAATTTGTGGAATGATTGCAGGATGCTCTTCCAAATCTGTTTCAATAAAATGCATCCTTTAAGCAAAAAAGGAAAAACATTGGGATACAAGACATATAGAGTATTTGATTTGGTTTTTGATGATACACACAAAAACAATCATGCAACCAAATAGTCCAACCAAATTTTGCATAACCAGAATTTCAGAATCGCACCAGAACATAAACGTCCGAAACAAACTCAAATTTATCATAAGATGACACTTATTCACAACAATAACATAAAAGAAGCTAGCTTTCTCAAAGCTGCATAGAATATAAACAAAGATTTCTCTCAGGTATTTTATCAAACACGTCATATGCCTCGTAAAATTAATTCCAATTTGGCATAAACATGTACCAATCCAACTTATTGTCATAAAGATAATTAAAGAAGGAGAAGATGAAGAAAAGAATTGTCAAGAAGGATGGAAGAAGATTCAAGTCGGTAAGAAGAAGAAATATCAAAAAGGAAGAGTATAAAAACATTAAGAGTAAATTACCTTTTGCATTCTGGTCATGAAAGCACCCAATTGTTCGTGGATCTTCTTGGCTACTTCTAGACTGACCTTGTTCTCTACTTCCAGATTCACATGTTCAAGCTTCTCATCCAACTTTCTTTGCAACTCTTTCTCCATGTTCCTTTTCAACTCCGCATCCATATGTTCACGTTCTTCTTGCAACTTTCGATCCATATCAGCTTGTATCTCTTGACGCACAATTTCTATTGCAGAAGACACACTAGCCTCTATGTTTGCCGCTTGCGTGAGACTATTTTTTGGAGGCTTCTTTCCATACCCTTTACCACGAACATAACCTGTCCTTTCACCATGAACAGAGGATAAAATCTCATCTCTAGTCATGGGATGCACGATCTCTTCAGATTGTTGCTGAGCCACAAGTTCCTGGAGCTGGCACTGCAATTGCGCATAGCTATTTACACCAAAGCTAATAAAAAGGAGTAAAAGATAGTAAGGTATAGATTTAAGAATATTACATGAATCTGTTGGGATTGTGGATCCACCCACACTATTTCTCCTCTATCATTTTTACGTGTATGTTGGATCTCCCAAACTCTATCAGGTGGTTCCTTTTCTCCAGTGGCAGGATTTTTCTAAAATATAGTTCAATAGGAAAATAATACAGAATCAAATAAATAAATATATAAATAACAAAGATGTTTAATTAATAATATGAAAATAAATATATTTCAGTGTCGATTCCTCAACTTCTGCAAAAGACCTCGTACCACAAGCATACTTAGTTATCTGCTTTTCCCTATTCTTTCTATTTCCTTCGCTTATAATCTGCATTAAGTCAATGATTAAGAAGCCATTATTCAATGGGCAGTGAATCAAACATTGTTATTAAGTTACCTTAAATTTCGGACTTCCAAAATACTCTACTAAGTATTTCCAGTCCTCTAGCTCAATATCTTCAGGTCGACGAGACAATATGTTTCCTTCAGCAACATGGCGAGAGTAGCGAATGCTCAGTCGAGCTTTCCAAGCTCTAAAAAGTCGTCGCATAGTGTCGATAACAAAGGCTTGAAACCTATGCTCTCGCATGCCGCCAAGAACTTCAAATTTATCCTGAACATACATGAACCATTATATTTGATATTCTAACCACAAAAATAAATGATGCAACGGGAAGTCAATACGATATTAAAAATAATTTTACCTTGACCTTCAACCACATTGCTTCTCCATGTTTTGAAACAATCTTTTGCCAACTCCCATCACGGAACTAGATAGTGCTCCTCATGATCAAACCACAAAAATTAACAATATCTCTAGCCCCAGGACCTACTGCTCTATCAATATCATCTGGAATTGTAATTGTAATTTTTCCGCCATACTTAGTTTTTATATCTACAGTTTTGGATTTATATTTCCCTCTTCCTCTCTTTTTATTGCTGGAAGAAACTACAAACAAAAAATAGTAGATGTGATCAGTCTACATAGGTGCAGTCATGTTAAGAGTATTAACTGAATACTCAAAAACTAACCTGCATCATTTTCAACTTCAGGAGAGGGAAGCACACTTCTGTCCAGATTCCTTGACGATACTGTCTCTAGAGAAGGTCTCTGCCAAGGGTTACTTGATATTTGTCCTCTCTCTAGAGGTTCTTGACTGGGATTATTTGATTCTCCTATCTCAGGAGATGCTACAGTATTCCCTATTGGTTGTACTTGTGGATGAGACATCACTCCAGAATTACCACGTCCTTGAAAATGGCCACATCCACGACCAGTTCCACTTCGACCTTTACCTCGTCCTGTCATTTGGACCCTCCTGCATGATGTAGAAAAACATCAGTAAGAATAGAAGCACGATTAGGAGTAAAAATATTTCATTATACATGGAAAATATAATGATGCTTAGTGCACATAGAAGGCAAGTAACATTTCACAAAAGCTTAATTTATAATCTAGTTATGAAATTAAAAGTTACAAGCATAATGAATTAATTTCATTGTCATGTTAATAAGGAACAAAATACAGAGAACTTTTCAAAACAAAAAGTAGACATCTATATTATCTTGCTTATCAGTCTTCCAGAGCATCATCAATATCTTATCCATATTATCATCAAGCCAATCTTCTTCGCTTTTTTCACCCTCGGATATATCTATATGATTGTCATTAATAAAATCCTCTTCTTCTTCATCCTCATATATATCTATAAGATTTTCATTAAAAAATTCTCTTCCTCATCATGCACACTTGTTTGTGCTTGTTTGCTTGCATGATTGTTGTTAATACTTTGTGGTTGAACATCATTCCTATGTAAAGACAAATCGATATCATTTTCATGGTCATTGGTACGCAAAATGTTCAATTCAACTTCCTCGTGTTGATAAGTTTCTTCATTCAGCAATGCTTCATCGTCAACTTCTACACAATTATCATCTTCGGGCATATTGAAAAGATCGCGAGGATTTGTCTTTACAATTACAAGCCTATCTTTATCAACCATGTCGTCTAAATAAAAGACTTGTTCAGACTGAGATGCCAACACAAATGGCTCGTTTGTGTTCAAGGCACAATGAGTATTCACACTTGTGAAGCCATATTTATCAATCTTATATCCCCTTCCCAAGCGAGCCACATCCCACCAGTGGCACTTGAATAGGTAAACTTTCCTATTTCCTATACAGGACAACTCGTAAATGTCGCCTAATACACTATAATACTCCTTATTAGAGTCTGAATCATCTCCTCTCACAAGGAATCCACTATTTTGTGTTTTTCTTCTCAACTCAAGATCTCTTGTATGGAATCTGAATCCATTCACCACAAATCTGGAATATCGATGCACCATTGGTGCAGGACCAACGGCTAAGCTTATGAGCTCCTCATTTGCGCGCCCTTGTGCAGCTAGTACAAAGACCTACAAAGCCAAACAACATCGTTGTAACTAATAACGTCGTCGTAATATCACACTAATATTAAAAATGTCACTTAACTAGACACCTACACGTGCACGAAACCAATCAAGAAACCCACTGTTATGCATCTCATCACTCATTGAACCTTGTCTTTCAATCTCTCCCTGGTATTCCCTATATTTTTGACAATGGAGTCAGTTAAGATAATGTTGTTGAAACATTTTAATGTGAGCCTATATTGAAATTAATATGATACTTACTCCATGAATGGCGGAACCTCTTCATAATTTTTAAGCACATACATACATGCTTGTTTGAACTCATCATGAGAGAGCATGATGCCTTCTGAACCACCTTTTTTTTTTGCCCACTTTTTTTGAAGATAGACATCTCCCAATATGACATAGATCCATCGTCATTCCTGGCCGGTTTGTTGAACTTGGTTGACATATTCTTTAAGTATCTTGAGCAAAATGTGAGACTTTCCTCTGCCAAATAACCTTCGGCAATTGAACCTTCTGGATGAGCATTATTGCGAACATATGACTTTTGTGTTCGCAAATACCTATATTGAAATAACTCATTAATATAATGTGTCATTCAAATTATGGTACTAAAATTATATAATATATTACCTCTCAAAAGGGTACATCCATCGAAATTGAGCTGGTCCACCAAGCTTTTCCTTTCTTGCCAAGTGAATTGGCAAATGAACCATGACATCAAAGAATGTCGGCGGGAAAATAATTTTAAGTTTGCATAATGTGCATGCACATTCAGCTCCAAGATGTCAAGACCTTCGATTGTCAAAGACTTAGAACATAGATTCTTGAAAAAATTTCCAAGCTCTATAATTGGTTCACACACTTCTTTAGGCAATAAACCACGTATTGCAACTGGGAGAATGTCTTGCAATAATACATGGTGATCATGACTTTTTAATCCATAGATCTTTTTCTATAATATGTTTACACACCTTGAAATATTTGATGAAAAAGCATCAGGAACCTTCAAATTAGCCAAAAAATGGCATAACTTCAACTTCTCCTCCAAGGACAATGCATAACATGCTGCGGTAACAATACATTGTCCTCATCCTCAATTGGATGCAATTTTTGTCTAATACCAAGGTCCACCAAGTCATATCTACTTTTTAATGTGTCCTTTATCTTTCCAACCATATTCATCAAAGTTGATATTATATTGCCTGACACATTTCTCTCTATGTGCATCACATCAAGGTTATATCGTAACAAAAGAGTACTCTCTAATAAGGCAATTGAAAAAATATACTTTTCTTCATCCAATTGTAAGCATTTTTGGGAAAATCACGTTTTCGCTTTTTTCCCTTCCCAAAACTCACATTCCCCAAGCCTTGTAATTGCATAAGTGCTTCATCACCTGTTAAAGGAATAGGTGCAACCCTCTTTTCTACCTTCCCATCAAATTTTCTACTATTTCGGCGCCATGGATGCTCTATTGGAAGGAAGCGACGATGACTCATATAACACAACTTACTACGTAAAGAAACCGATTGTCTGTCTTTATGGCAACAAAGACATGCAAGCTTGCCTTTTGTTGACCATCCTGAAAGGTTCCCATATGCAGATTAGTCATTAATCATCCACATTACAGCTGTACGCATCATAAAATTAGATTTTGAGTATGAATCATAAGTTTCGACTCCATCCCATAATTCTTTCAACTCTTCAATCATTGGTTGCAAGTATACATCTATATCATTTCCTGGATACTTAGGGCCTGGAATAAGAAGTGTCATCATGAAATACGGATCCTTCATGCAATCCCATGGCAGCAAATTATATGTTGCTAGTACGACTGGCCAAATACTATGATTGGCACTCATGTTGCCAAAAGGTTGGAACCCGTCACTTGCTAAACCTAATCGAACATTTCTTAATTCAGCTAAAAAGGTGGGATGTCGCTTATCAAAGAATTTTCACGCTATGGAGTCAGACGAACGTCGCAAGACACCGTCATCAACATTTTTATCCTTGTGCCACCTCATCTTTTTTGTTGTCTCTCTTGCCATGTACAATCTCTGAAGCCTTGGTTTGATTGGAAAATGTCGCAATACTTTAAAAGTTACTTTCTTGCCTTTGTGTTCTTCTGACTTCCATCTAGACTTACCGCACTTAGGACATGATTGGGCATTGGCATAATCACGCCAATATAAAATACAATCATTCACACATGCATCTATTATGGTGTAACCCAATCCTAGGTCACGAAGAACTTTCTTCGCTTCATAGAAAGAACTGGGCACAAATGACCCCTCCGGAATAACTTCTTTAAAGAAACTCAACAGTTCATCCATTGATTTGTTGCTCCAATGATTAAAGCACTTCAAGTGAAGTAGTTTAACAACAAAAGATAACTTTGAGACTTTACTACAACCAGGATAAAGTTCTGTCGAGCATCTTCTAATAATTTGTAGAACTTTGCTGCATGTAAATTTGGCTCTTCATTGTCCTCAGAAGTATTATTATTATCCTCCACATTCGCATGTCCACAAGCATCGTGAATCATTTCTGTAATATTATCCTCTTCAATGTTATCATCTTCTACTTCATTATTGAGTGTTACGTTAGAATTTTCAACTCTAACTAACACTTCTCCATGCAAGTCCCACACTTTTTAAGAATCCCAGAAACCCTTCCTCAATAAGTCTCCTCTTACATCGGGCCTTAGCTTGAATGCAGTATTCATACACCCTTTACAAGGACATCGAATCATAGTGCTCCCCCTTGGTTGACTGAATGCCCAACTAAAAAAGCCATCTACTCCATCTCTATACCTTTGGTCACCTCTATTCCTAATTTTCAACTAACTTTTATCCATTCCTATTTTTAGAATAACAATCAATCAATTAATTAATTAATAAATCTCAAGGACCACAAAAACCAACACAGCTACAAGAACATAACCAGATGTTACTATAACTCATCTTGCTTCCCTAAAGTAAGATAAATTTTCTCTTTACAGAGAGTTCTACATGGGTTAAAGTCAACACTTACATATGATATATGTCATAGCAAAATATAATCTCAAAAACATGGTATAAAGAGTGTTGCAATTAACTTTAAACCAATAGTTGCATCTGTCAACAAATATAATTATATAACACAACCAAGAGTTCTTTTCCAATATATCTCTAAAGATAAAGGAATGACAAAGTCATAAAATATTTTACATAAGGAATGACAAGGCTCCAACCTAGATACATTTATGAACTAATAAGACAATAAACAATTCATTTCAAGATTATGGAAATTACAGCCGACAAAAAGTTAAGAAAATATAACTTTCAAATGCAAAATTAAATTATCTAAGGGGATATCATCAAAACACCTCGGCTGCGATAAATAGACGAACTAGAACTTAATTGACTCCATTTATCTATTTTACTTTGTCTAAGTTGTTTTCAATTTAACACTATAAATTGGCCAATTATATTATCTATTAAATCAATTAGCAGAAAATAATAAGAACTAATTCAGCACTCGGTAGAGACATGAAGAAGCTCAAAAAATGGAGCGCTATATGAAAATAGATGTATATCACAAAGACGATGAACAAACAGAGAAGGAATGATGAACAAAATAAATGAAGTAACATCTTAAAATGAATCAAATATATCCTAATATTTTTCACTTCTGATATCTTTCTTAATGTATAACTCAAAAGAATCTTCACTGCTCTCTCTACCTAAAATATTATTGGGTGAAGATTTATGAAACATATGGAATTTTGTCGAAAAATATCAGGAAAAATAACATACCCATACCACACAACATCTCATTTCAGCATTTTGAGAGGAATACCAAATATGCAATCACCAAAAAGTTCAGAATTTTAAATAAAAAAAAACTTACCCAGCGAAGAGATCGTCAACACCGAGAAGGGCTTTACACGATGATATTGTTGGAAAAATTACTTTTTACTCATGTAGATTTCAAATGGGTTAGAGAAATTAGAGGTGAATATGAAGAAATAGTCACTCTTGCTAACTGCATTTAACACCCAAAAGGATTTGGGGTTTGAACACATTACTTGATTTGAGTACAATCTTAGAATACAAATGGTGTTAGGGTTTTTGGGTTTCATAAATTAGGTTCACATCTTGTGATTAAACAAAAGTGAAAGATTTAATTTGAGAAATTCGAAGAAGTAATGGAGCTTTTGCAGAGAGAATCGAGAAGAGGGAAGAAGAAAATGGACCTTCGGTCTTCTATTTAGGACTTAGTATTTTTAGGATCTTTTATTTAGTTTTTTATTTTTAAATGTCAGATATTTACATTATTAGAGGCGACCCAGTCCCCCCAAAAATACCTTCAGCAGCGACTCTCTATTAGTCGCTACTAAACATTTGTAGCCAAATTTTTAGTCGTAGCGTGAACAAAATATTCAGGATTTACTGGCACATATTAAAGGCTACCTGCAAAAGTTGCCGCTAAAAGTTTTTATTTTGTAGCAATTATCAGGTCACCATAATAAATATATCATTTATAGCAATAAATAAAGTCGCTACTAAATATTGCCACTAAAAAATAAATTTCTTGTAGTGCACCCATTTCAATTAACACAGTCATACAATGTTGTTGAATATGTACCATTATTGTAAATATAGATTAGCACTTTTGTACCACACTAAAGGATAGAAAAAAAGTACAATACAAACTATTTAGTAAGATAATTAGTCAATTGCACCATTGTAGGAAATCAGTAAATAAGAAAATATTTCCCCAGTAAACAAAAATATTTCATCATGCTTTTATTTTTTTGTTCAAGTATAATCAGTTCTTCATTCAATGATGCTCACATTTATCTTCCGCTATAAAAGTAACACTTGTAACACTTTGGATTACCAATCGAAGAACAAACAACTCAAAGAAACTTTAAATGTAATTTTTGTAAATACATTACATCCCTTTCTATATTTATCGGTAAATTTTCATTTGTTCACATCATCCTCTTCTCTATAAAAATAACCCCTCCCCAAAATAACCATCTATTTATCCGTAAAACGATATAATTTAATTTATACGTGGTTTCTAGACAAGTGAATTAATTTGATCCTGAAATAATGAAATAATTAAAGAAATGTGCAATACTTAGCCTTGAAATAAAGATGAAATCACGAAAAAAAGTAATTTCGGAGGTAGAGCTTCTGGGCACAACAGTGATGAAACCAAGGAACAAGGAAGTAAAATTGTGTAAAGCTTTTAATCAATTATAGCGTAAGTTTGCCAGAAAAGCCGTGTCCTTACAATGATAACAGAGCTCACTATTTATAGCTACGCCTAGAGAACAAGGTCCTAGGATCGTGCCCTTCTTTAATGTCAATTATGAGGGCCATTGATGAAGGTGTAACGGTGAGCATAAATGATAAATTCTCTGTAACGGGCAGCGCACTAAATATTGTGGAATATTCTCCATTAAATACTACCGGTCGGAGGGTATTTGTTGCATCTTTAAGAGTGTCATTCTTTCAGGGAGCAAACGGGATAATTGCCTTCGGTTCATACTGTCACGCCCCAAACTCGGGGAGCGCAATCGGTGCTCAATCGAGAGAACCCGACCGAGCAAGCCTATTAGGTTTTCTTCTACCCAAACTCATCCATGAATAAAGAGGAAATGTACACCATTAATCATTCACTGAAAAGATTTTATTAATAACTTTCTTTTTCATTCTCATTAGCAACTTCATTCATAATTTCCAAAATATTACGAGTTTATAGAATTAATGAAAAACATGATTTTCAAATACCAACATTTCTTGTTCAATTCCCAACTTCAACCACAACCCACAACCTGTCTACAGCGCCTCTAAATACAATAGAAGAGTAATATGAAAATGCCGGCAACAAGGCCCCGGCTATACCTCAAAACTTAGTACATGAGAAACAAAAGATACATGACCCCGAAATAAAGTGGGGCTCACCAAATCAGCTGAAAAGAGTGCACTGCTATCACTGATCAATGTCGCTTGCTGTAGAACTACCTGCATCCATTAAAGATGCAGCGCCCCGGCAAAAAGGACGTTAGTACTGTCGAATAGCACTAGTATGCATAGCTAAAAGTCGTCTTTCAAAATAGAATGCCCATATAAGAAAAGGCAACACATAGAAACAACAAGTCATAATCAACAATATCCAAATGTTCAGTTAAAACATAATATTTTTTAAAATACGAACTTCATATACAATTTTGGTAGGGAGATCATTAGCACTGATATACCACCGCTTTTGTTAGCACGGAGTCCGATCACGTCCGGACGGCTAGGCCATCTCCCCACGAACAATGTGGTTTGACATGTGATGCGAAAGAAAGTTGTTACCAAGAGTAGTACCACCATATGCGCAATATGGCGTCTGATCTCCACCCGATCAGCTAGGTCGCCTTCCCATATATGACATGCGAGTTGACTTTCCCAATCCACAAAGGTTCCAGTTTTATCCCAATTAAGGAGAATAATATCACAATTTCCCAAAGGTTCCAATTTCATCCCAAATAAGGGGAATAATCACAATCCACCTCTACACTGGCACGTGTAGTTTCAGGTGTAGGCCTTATGACCCACCCTTCCTCGGTTTTGCTAATGATGCTCCCAAAAATATTTTTGATTTGATTTGCAAA